TCACAGCACCTCCACCATTATTTGGACAACATCAAGAAAGTAACCGCCTTCATAACTGGGCACTTAATAGATTACAATATCGCCAAGATATTCATAACGATATCCGTGATCACAATATTCAAATACTCCAACAAAACAGTTTACAATTAAAGTTTGAAATCACAGTTAAGTTAAATAACATTACCCAACATCCCTACCCATTAAATCCACCTAACATAACAGCTCAATCACTACCACCACCGTTTATAACTACTGAAGTAATATATAAATACGACAGATACACCAAAAACACAATTGGTTACATTACATTTTATAATCCATACTCAGGATTATCATACACATGTATATTCTAAAATTATTAATTTTTCTCCAACTCCCTTTTCTAGTAACCTCAAATCAAAACATAAACCCTTCCCCTCGTACAGGACCACAAGATTTATTAGTAACACATTACGATTGCGAAGAAAATGAACAAAAAACACTACACAAATATGCAATAAATCAAGTATCACAATGTGAAACAGAACCACAAGCTATAGAAACCACAGATATAATAGCAACACTCTATTCCAAAGCCCGAGCAACAACAGTTACAGGTTATAAATTCACAGCGACATTTTCCGAAAAGAAAGTACATTGTTCACAAGTCTCGAACGGAAACAAAAACCGACTTGACCATGAATCATTCTATCAAAGTAATATAGAACGTCTTTTACATCTCAATCCCGACGATTGTAAAAATGAATTACTTAGACTAAACATCACACGAAATAAAAACTCCCAAAGAAAATTAGTTAATTTTCAAGTTTTTTCAGACTCTGTACATCAATCACAACTTGAAAGACACCAAGGACATATAAAACTAGACGAAAAATACCCGTATAACGGCGCACACGGACGATTAACCTATGACCTACATGATAAACATTGGATACCACACATTGGTATAAATAACCCATCAAACTGCAAAGCAGACACGAAAAATAAAGGATACCAAGAAATAATGTTTTTCGATTGGAAAATACAACTCGAAAAAATACAACTCACACGAGATTTATCTGATAATACAATGATCTATCAAGGAATCCGACTACCTTGTAAAAATGATCAAGGATATTGCGACCCTACAACGAGAACACAAGCAACAATTGTTTGGTTCCCCGAAGATACATGTACAACATTTCAAGTAGCAAAAATACACGCTCGTATGATAAAATTTCACGAAAAATATTTTATACAATCAATCCCATATGAACAAGTCCATCCATCACGCAAACTAAGTTCCGATTTTAGAAACATAGACAATATAGAAAATAAATTGACACGTTTTCAAATATATCAAGAAACAGAACTTGCATGTAAATACAGGAATCCACTTCACAGAACACAATACTCTGAAATATTAGTTGAATACGAAAAAGGATTCGACATGACCACTGGAAAAGTAAAAATCGACCCATATGCCACAGGTCATCCTCTAAACGAAGGAACATCCTATATACCAGTTAATTTTGAAAAAAGTAACGGACAACCTGGTGGACATCTAAAACCTTATGACACCAGAAGCACACGCTTACAAGAATTATCACTAATGAATACTACATATTTCGGTAATATCCACTATGATATTCATTTGGATATGAAACTAGACTATACAATTAGCCGCATTTTTCAAGAAATGTCACTCTCCGAATTAGAAACACTACACCAACTATGCGAATTAGAACGAACACAAATATTACAATCACTTGCACTAGCAGTATTAAAAATACCCTACGCAGGATACTTATTATCAGGAAATAGATCAAATTTTTTAGACTATGAAGGAAACATCTTATGGTTTTATACTTGTACCAAAAAAGTATCACCACTATACGTTTTTGAAGATAAACGATGTTATAAAAGAATCCCTATCTTTTATAAGAATAAAGTACATTTCGTGGATACACTTTCACGAAGAACCTATTTCTGGGATACCGCAGTCCCATGTGGATCAGAAAATAGCCACAATGTAGTACAACTAAACCCTGATGAAAATAAATATTATCTTCTCACTCCATATCCCACATTAATGCAATCACTCAAAAAATTTTCACCAGAAAGCATTCGCGCTATTGCTCGAAACCCAAATATAGACTTACAATCAATAGGAATCTATTCAAAATCAGATATTCAACATCACATTAGAACACAACAATTCCAAGAATTATTAACACAAATGGACACTATACAAAGACAATCAATAGACCAAAATTTACGTAAACTTGCAGAAACCGCAGGATTTGCCGATATCTACACCCAAGACTATAGCGGATATTTTAAAGACATTAAAGATTATATATATCTAAACGGTGAAAAATACCGTCCCCAAGATATATCACCAATTAACATTTTTAGCTTTGTTACACTCAAAAATGAGATCCTCGATTTTCTAGGATGGCCCTACTACATCTTAGAAAAATTGACTATTTTATACGCAATGTTTAACTTTATTGGATTTCTTTTCTCACTTTTAAAAGGAATCTACAACACATGTGCTATACACACACAAGTAAACAGACAAGCAAGTGTAGCACGCATACTATTTGCAGGATTTTTTGGAATCTTTTCTACATCTATAAACAAAATTCTTTTAGACGCACAAATAAAAGAATATAACACAAAAATAACAACACGACAAAATACATACGACGAAGAACATAACAATGTCGACACACAGCCAACGGCACCACAATTACCACCCCTACCAAATAACCATCCACTATCCCTAGTCCCACGAAATTTTCGAAATTTAGCAATCACACATAATCCAAATTTTCGACTCAATACATCACAAAGTCCCGTCCAACATATAATGACACACCAGTCACAAGATGATAATACTTATGAACAAATTATTGAACAACCCCATACCACCGATTTTCAGTCTCAAAATAATCATTTTTTTAGCCCACGATGAGCCGCCAACTTGGATCACTACACCGATCAAATTCCCACCCAACCAATCTTACCTCCCCAATCCCAATAATACCACTTTTTGCTTTTCCGCCACCCGATTTTCCATCTAGCAATGTAACATCAGGCATGAATTCCGACACTAACTCACATATTTCAGTTTTATACTCCATCTCACAGCTAAATAACCCGAATATTGAAACCCCCGATGAATTTGCCGACTCAGAACCATCCCCATCCAATAATTTTCATAACCCTTCTAATTTTTCTCAACCTCCTTTTCAACCCATATTGTCCAATAACCCTGACCCAATCACTCCGACACCCTCTTATGCTTCCCAAGTTACCCCAACCTACTCCTCATACCAATCTGACCAATCATCTCATTCTCCAGACACCCCCCGAATCTCCTCAGAGCTAGATAATTTTATTACCCTCCAACAGCAACCCTACCACCTTAACACCCCGACCATAAACCAAATCTCCTCCACTACAATTTCATCCAATCCCCCTACACCCTCTTCAAATTATACTGAATCATTAACACCATCATCCACATCCACTATATCTTCACTAAACACTAATAGAGCTTACCGCACTTTTAAAAGAAAATTCCCCAACCATCCTTTCCC